GCTGACTTTTCTTCTATCATAACGCTTATTGTAATATTAATTAATATTATAAATTTCATTTGCGCTATGAAACACAACTATCATTCAAATAAGCTACCTTTATACCCTTAAAAACAAAAGGCAAAACAAAAGATGGCTCCGTATATTAATTTAATGTTTTCGTGTTGAATATGAACATCGTTAGGAGTTTCCTTTACCTGCTAAAAATTTCACAACATAATTCCGGATAAATGTTTCCCCTTTAATTAAAGTTTTATGCATGACAACGTATCTCGTAATGATATCTAATTTTATTTCTGTGCTTAATTGGATCCATGTCATCTGTAATGGTTATATTTATATAATATATTACAAGCTTTAATTATTATAGTAACATTGTGGCTTGAAGTTGAAACCCTACGTTTGTCATTAATCCTTTCTATGTACTTACATACACTCTTAAGTCATTTTTTTTCTTAATGCAAGTATAAAATCTGTAATTTAAACGAAATTATATACACGATATATAACGAAGGAATAAAATGCCGCTTGAGAAAAGAAATAATGAAAAGAAAACAGAAATGTATCTGTATTGTTAAATTAAGTGCGTGGCCATGTTGTTTTTATAATTTTGATTTTATAAATAAGACTAATAAAATAAATTAAATAATGAAATGAAAAATAATTGTAACTTTGGCGTTCAGTTAATTAACCTTGTGTTTTAAACCTTCTTTCTACAGGTGTCTACTTGTGAACTCACAAGTGTATATGTATATAAGGTTCCTTATAAACAGACATATTCGTCGAACAACATCTAATAAAAATGTTTTGATAATTAAGTCATATCGCTTCCTTTTAAGTAAGGAAAAGATCCCAATTGTTACCTGTGTACGGAAACAAATTCCTGTCGTAGGTACACTACAAGTTAATGATGTAACATCGATCCATCAACTAATGAACGCTAACTAATATATTTAAGGGTGGATAACACACGGAAAGCGAGGGCATTTGGATACGGAGATTGCCAATTAATGTTACATTCCACCCGACCCACCCTTCTTCAAGCCTCAGCCAACCCGCCCCTTACCTTTCCGAGATTTATATCTGTCTGAATGTATTGCATCTATTTGTAAATAATTACTTCTTTTCATCACGATGCCTTTGCGCAATGCGTCTTTACGGTGTCTTTCAAAATCTTTAGAGTATTTCCAGATTCACTAATACAGATCATTTAATTGATTGTCCACGTAACTCAGTGGTTGGAGTTTTAAGTTTACCAGATAATTGGATTATGGCTGGGCACTTAAAGAAGTTAGTTCTGATAGCCTACTGACCTGAATTGATAAGTAGATAAATTAATCGTACAGAAATGTGACTTTCAAGTTTAAAAATGGCGCAGACATTATTATTCGTGTATTTAAAAACACATAGTGATGCTAATAGATACAATAAATATACATAGATATAATAAATTATATACAGTTTAAAAGAATAGGTATGTTTTTTATGAATATAAGCATAAATATGTTTAAAGTTACGGTATTTTATGTTTAATGAAGTCTATCAACAGGTAATGAGTTCGATCTCTGGGTTCAAAATATTTATAAAAATTGATTTATATTTTATATAAAACATGTTGGATTTCGTCTGGAGATCTATATATTAAATGGTAGAAACATCGAAATTCCGTCCGGATATCCAAAGCCAAAATAGGTCGACAGCGTATATTCTTCGGATGTTAAAAGGCTGGGGCATTTCACCAACCTTCAAGTGAACCTTCCTTATCTGTCCTTCCCTGTCATAGATAAAAACCAACAAAAATAGGTAAATACAATATAATTGCAGTCTTTTTTTAATCAAAACAACTGTAACGAGTCAAAAAGTACGATAATTGTAAAACGATGTAAAACTACACTTACAGTAAATTGTGTTACAATAATCGATACCGTTTTACGCATTTACACGATAATAAACAAGCAAAATGACTACCATAAAGCCACATTAATTGCTTTTCGAATAATTATTTTCAATTACTCCGAAACGAATCCATACCACAACGCGCATAAACGGTTTATAATCGAAACAATATAAGTAAATTATGACTAAACCCCTTTGAAATTTGCTAAATTTATTACAAAGCCCTCGTAATACGAATACTAATTTTCCTTCAACAAAATTTACTCAGTAGAATTACGTTTAAATCTTTAAACCACGCCGTAAATTAATTTAGTTCTTAAGTAGCCGCAGTTGAAACTTTTTAAGAACTTGATTTTTGAATTCAATTAGTAGAATTATCACTGCAGTGGTAGCGTTTAATCATATTATTTTTAATTAAGAAAACATTTTCAAATTTGTTATGTTATTAAATCAGTTAAGTAGCTTTATAAGGATTCAATTTACTGAAACAATGGTTTTATACGTATTTTACCAATCAATTTGGGCTATTTTGCACGACCTTGACAATAAACTTTAAGCAAGAATACTAAAATATTTCATATAAAATTGTTTTGTATTATTTAAATAATTGAAGTAACTTTACAATATAGATAAATTATAAGCTGAGTATTATAAAAATATAAAAATTCCAAGACTCGAAATTCCAATCGCACCTTTTCTCACAGATTATTATTATTAGACATATGCTAAAATATCAGTTCTCTTAGGACTAAGTAAATATTTATTGTTAAGGAATTATTAGCGTATATCAATAATATTATCACTGAAATATTTTTTACCTACTTTCCGTTTCACCTTCCTGTACATTTAATTGTATACGTTACAAGCAAAACACAACAATTCACAATATTTAATTTACAAATGCATTTATTATCTATGACTTTATACGGGCGGGATGCTGGCTACGCGCTAGATCTACGGCAGTCGTCTACGAACCGTAGCGGATGGCACCGAGCTACGCCGTAGCGAAACACGTGCTCGAAGTTAATTATTTAGTGAACGACGGAGGCTAATGGATTTGTGACTAATATTAATTTAGAGGATTGGAGTCTTCTGTTGCTATATACTATACTATATGTGATTGATATTGACATTAATTACATTATTATATGTAGCTTCCATTCTTCACTTAAAACTTACAGATCCTAGTTTTTTGTAAAAAGTTAAAAAACACAGGTTTTTCATATAATTTAAAGGTCAAAAGCTTATAGAGAAGGGATGTTTATCAAGATGTTTTCCAACGTGTTATTCTTTTGTATATTATTGCTATGTATCGTGGACACCAGGATTGGGGCTTTATCACATCCAAGTATGTATTTTAATATTGTGCGCCATATTATTTTTCAATATAAACTGTTTAATTAAAACGTAAGTTTTTATTACTTATTAGTAATTTTCAAATGATGTAGAAATTATTTTTGGTTCATAAATTAACATTGATTAACTTTGATTTTATTATAAGCGATGATACCTTTAATGTCTATTTTTATATTTAATATGCTTTTTATATTTTACTTTGTACACATAACTTTAGATTTTTTTATTAGTTACAGATTTTTATATATTTTGTGATTACGAAGGCAAAAAATATCACTGTTTATTAAAATTAGGCTAATATATATTTAAAATCAGAACAACTATTTTCAGATATGCAAACCTTGTGTGTTTAATGATATATTGATGCACATACTCCGAGTGTGAAACTCAAACAAATTATTCAAGCCGTAACAATTAAAATAATGTATTCATGGGTGTGTCTGTAGTAAATGAATCCCCTTCGCTAACGTCTCTGTGCAAATTAACATTAACTCGGAATTTATAAGGAACATTACACTCTGGTTTTCGAACTTGCCTCACCTAAGGTTCCTACAATAGGCTTTATTAGGGTAACTTATAATTGGTTTACTTAGCACTGTTGCTTGGTAGTACCGTCGTTAGAGTATTTTATAGGTGCAGAAGATACTAGAATTATATTTGCGTAAAAAGTTAAACCCGTCTTTCCTCGTATGCCGTAGTATAGGAGACACACATTTTTGCGATTGTTTTATTTACAGACAAGTATTTATTTCGCTTGTATAACCGAACCTATTAGTGGTAAATCAATAAACCTACTAAGTCATTGAAAATTTTAAATTACTTGGTGCGGTTACTATAGACTTAGGTAATGTGTAACTATGAATATATTTCCTTAAGAATGAGGCTAGGTACATTTAAATTCAAGTTCAATGAAATGTCAATTGTCAGATTTCAGAGAAACGAATGTTAAAAATATCGCACAGTTCCTTTAATAATCATTTATTATTTTGTTGCCCCCCTTGTATTTCAAATAAGATTTATTATGAAATAAAAAATATTATATTTTTTGAGAATATCTTTACCGAAAAAACAAAATCAAAGAAATTTCATACTAATACATTTTTCTCAATCGTTTAGTTTTATTTGCTCCCTTCTGTTTATGTAAGTTCTTTTAATATTATAAAAAAAAACTTACACATTGAGCTATTTCATTATTAACCAATCAAAAAGCCATATAAATATAAATAATTTATGCAAATAAATATTTATGGAAGGCTTTCACAGACTGTTAACCGCAGTCCGTTTTATATTCAACAAATACACCACAATTATTTAAAGCATGAAAACATTTAAGAGGCGGAATAATTTATATCAGTTAAATAATTCAAAGTTCACCAGATGAGATTGTTATGTTGATTTTTAGGCCATAAAAAGTTGCCTCAAGTCCCTTAGCATCGCACCGCGTTAGGCTGCGGTTTCCTATAAATGCAGTGGAGCGCTAACGGCGTCTTAGATCGGTCTCCGACTATTTTGTATCATTGTTTGGTTAACAAATAACGTGATGCGGGCATTCTTTGTCAACCACTGACCAAGACTGTCTAATTGTAAGAATAAATGCGACGAAAAGCGAAGCTCAGTACGGCGTTAATATGAAACAACGGCATTAAGGATTTTTGTATTCATACAGCTCATTGTAGCGATGATTGAATTTTTTATGAGTTCCAACAATTATTCTTTTCATTTGAATTCGTCCAAATTAATGGTGGAAAATGTTCGTTGTAACAAAGGAGAGTTCTCTAAGTAAGGTTTCGCGGTTGAACTGCTTTCAGCAGATTTATGTTTTCATTTCTGAGAAATTGAGAAATCGATGGTCACATTAGTAGAGGAAGATCATTTGGATGAATAAGTATTAAGTAAATTATATGTTTATCGCAAACCTAGCTTTTAAACCTACAATCCCTTCCCTAGAAAAATTTCCACTTAGAAAAAGGAAATTTATTTCAGTATTGTCATACGTATATATATATCTAGCAATATTGTCTTTTATTGAGAATGAATAGTAAAGAAAATTTATCCTTGTGCAGTAGTTGTACATAAATTTTGCTTATAAAAGATATTAAATAAAACTTTTTATTTAAAATGGATAAAATATTTCTTAATTCTGTAACTGCAATCTGATTTTTCGTACTCTTTACAGTAATCGTTGCCTTGTGGCCATTACTTAAATATTATTAGTTAAATGTGTTTTATAAATGCTGTACGAAATGTAGGTAGTTTTCAAGAGATTTTTATAGCTAATAAAGTTTATGAACACAAAATGTAGCCTTAAATTTTGTGTTCATGAATTTTCAATTGTAAAAAAAATATTTTCTCTTCTGATAACACATTAAATTGTTTTACTCGAAAGCATTTTTATGTTTTCAAATGCAGCGTAAATAGGTTGACTGCAGTCCAAGCACGTTTTTCTCCGTTTTGGGTCGAGAAAATAAAAATAAAAACGCCGTTCAAAGAGGCAAAAGGACAGTTTAGTTTGTTAAAACCGTGTTATGTATGACTAATAGCTCTTTATCTGGTCTACATTAACTGGATAAATTATTATGACGTAGCTTTTTATTTTTAATGATATTGAACTATTATTAGATATTATTAATAATCTGTTTTAAATAAATATTTAAACTTATTTTAATAAAAAAAACGTAGAATATATAATTTATTGTTTGTTAGACATTTTCTCTATGTTTATACATAGTAAGTCCATACGTAGTATTTCAATTGTTAAAAACATACATTTTTGTTTTTTTTTAGTTCGAGCATATTTAACTTTATTTTACTTATAAATCTTCTTAGATTGTATTAATATAATCGACGATGTATGGGATACGCAATAAAATGTGAAGACGTGTAAGTAGTGCGATATGAGTAAACTATGGCAAAGTGCTGAGCCCAAATCAACGATCGATAATATTAACAAGAAAATAGTTTTTAATATTATTATTTTGCCCCATTAGCATCCATTATTTTATATTTATAGATTTAAATTAGTATTAGATCTTTGGGGGGCCCCCGGGGGGGGGGGGGGGGGGGGGGGGGGGGGGGGGGGGGGCCCCCCCCCCCCCCCGGGGGGGGGGGGGGGGGGGGGGGGGGGGGGGGGGGGGGGGGGGGGGGGACCCCCCCCCCCCCCCCCCCCGGGGTCCCCCGGGAAAAAAAAAAAAATGGTTTTAGATCTTTAGAGTTTTGAGTAGGATTAACTATAATAAGTGCCCAACTAAATGCTAGTACGCCACGGAAAAATATTCACATGTTTTTTTTTATGACAGTATATAACCCATCATCATAAATAAGGAAACTACTCGATATCCGCTTATAAGCGTAAATAAACTCCAAAATTAGACCCGAGTGAAAGGTTAGTTAATTAACACTCAACGTCGAATATTGAAAAGTGTTTGTTAATTTAGTTTGAATTGATTCAAACTTAATATACGTCAAACTGAAATCCGTATTAATCGAATATGGCACGTATTCAATTAAACCTCACAAGAGTCCATTGCTCCTGTCACAAATCTGAGATTAGTTAGAAAATATGAGTACTTTATTATTTATGATTAATTTTCCACAAGCGAGTAGAGGCCAATGTGGAACTTGGAATCCCGGAAACTTGGATTTGATAATTTGTTAATGCGCCACATGGTACACAAAATGTTTTTGTGTAGACAGGCTTACTTGATGGTGGGTGAAAGACCACAACCATATCTAAATAAGATACGCCGTCGACCTATTTGGGCTTTGGATAAAATAAATCGCTTGTCGCGTCATTTTTAACTTAAAATTACCGAAGTGGGTTTGCTTTATAAACATACAAATAGACAAAAAATGCTTGCATCTGATTGGATTTTGATTAGCAAATTCTGTGGTGTAACTTAATACTACACGATTTTAAATTAATAGAGACATTTCCAATCAGTCTCGCATAACATCTAGTATCGTATTTTGAGACTTCGATTGAACAACACAAATTAAAAACGTGCTTTCGCAGTACAGTCCCAATAAATAAATAGAATCGGCATGATTAGGTTTTGAAGCAATTGAGTTGGATATAGAAAGAGACAGAGACAGATGATAATTGTAAAACTACCGTGTAGCACAGGTTATAACATACCTTCAAGGATTTACTAGAAATCAAAACATTCCTTTTCTTCTCCTATTGTATATCTCTAAATCAATGACGAGAAAACAGATGGCGCTAGCGTAGCTGATTTCATTTTGATATTATGATCATCCTCCATCTTCAGTCCCAGCGTGACCACGGCTACTGCAAAGCTTTTGTAACGTAGGGCCATAGTTTAAATAAATAAAAATGGTTTAATTAATGTATTTCGCGTTTAAACCGTTAAAAGTGATTTACATAAATATTATACTCGCGTAAACTATAGACGATCCTATAATCGATAATTAATCATTTGAATAAGTAAAAAAGAAAATTACATACAGTCAAACACGTTCCAATCTTGGATACCAGATCCAAGAATGGAAGTTACTGTTATGAACGAAAAATAAAAGAGGACTAACTTACGACTGCACAAAATTTAATAATCAGTAATTTATTTCGTTATTTAACAGAAGTTGAACCACACGAGTGCCATCAGTGCTCCACCCTCACAAACTGCAGCCAGCTGATACCTGCAAAATGTTCCGACGAGCAGCCATACTGCGCCACAGTCGCGACAGCACCAAGTAAGCTTGTTATTTCTATATTAAAACTATCATTAATGACTGAACTTCTACGCTGGTTGGAATTATTATTGACTAGCTGTGCCAGCGACTTCGTTCACGAGAATCGTTATTTTGGGCATCCAAATTAGTTTTTTGGAAACCCCGTCATCTTTATAAACTTAAGGAAGGGCTTCTGAGGTAAAAGAAGACCTCCAACTTCCAATATATTGATTGATGTAAGTGCTCTTCGAGTATGTAATTTGATTGATATAGTCTATAGAACTTCTGAAAACAGATTAAGTCGTTGTACACTAAAGAATAAACATATAAGTAAAAACGTCGTTAAGATCTCACGTTTTCGCACCGACCGACGTCGCATCCCTTCCTGTCGTCCTTGCAAGTTAATCTTAAAAGATAGACATATAGCGTCGGGGCCTTGTTTTTATATCATTTAAAGAGGAATCATTATTTTATACAATTTTTTTACGCGTACGCTGCGAAAACGGTTCAAGATAGAACCGTTTTCGCAGCGTACGCATCTGAAACCCACAGAGATGAAAAATTTCCCCCGTTTTGTTCACAATTCCCGCTGTTTCTTCGCTCCTATTAGTCATAGCTCTATGTTCAAACACAAAAATATTTTTTTCAATTTCAACCCGTAGTTCCTGAGATTAGGGCGTTCAAACAAACAAACAAAGCTTTATATATTACGATACATATATGTTATTTTGGTATATTGACTATTTTCTACTGTAGGTACGTAGTACTTACTTTACTTTTCTGCGGAACTAGTCTCCAATTCCGCTGATACACATATATGTATATCTGTTTGTACACAGGACATATTAGTTTTCGAAGATAATCAATTTATAATGGACTACAAATAATCTATGTTTCATAAATTCAATAGAATTCAAAACTATTTTTCGCACACGGTGACTCAATTGGTTAGAGCAGCAAAGGATAACTGTGGATGCCGGTTTAATATAAATAGATTTTAAGGTTTATAATTCAAAGATTACTAAATTGTGAGATCTTAACGACGTTTTTACTTATATGTTTATTCTTTAGTGTACAAAGACTTAATCTGTTTTCAGAAGTTCTATAGACTATATCAATCAAATTACATACTCGAAGAGCACTTACATCAATCAATATATTGGAAGTTGGAGGTCTTCTTTTACCTCAGAAGCCCTTAAATATTTGAGTGACTCAAGTATTTCAATACCCTTGACGATTACTTTGATTGATAATATAATCCTTAGATCACAATTCTTTATTGAAAAGTTTGTTTAGAATCTACTTGAAATAAACACACAAATACATTCCAATATATATTGGGATACAAATAAAATAATTTACATTACATTTTACAGTGTTAGGATTTTATATGGTAGTATAGAATACTTTACTCTCACTAATAACGGTTTAAAATGAAAACCTTATGTTACAAAGGTTTCATTTTAAACTACTAATTAAAAGGAAATATTAGAAACCTGGCATAAATCTTCTATAATCCTCTCGTTTGTGACTCACATCATAAATCAAAATAATCTTCTTTCGTTTATTTGTCAACTAATAATCAAACGTTGTTGCAGATTATACCAGTGCGCTAACTTGCCGAGCGGCACAGGTTTCGCCCTGTGTATTGCAATACGAAAAAGAATACACCCTCACATGCATATGCGAGACCGACCTCTGCAATGCGTTATACAATCAACGGCTTCGGGACGAGCTGCTAAATTTTTCAACGAACTTCCATGCAAACAGTGACGCCAATTTCACGGAGATATTTTTTAAATTCTCCGCGCTCGCTAACATCAGTAATGAAGCCATTTACGAAATGGTTACTGCAAATACGACGGCATCTTCTGTTACCATGACGCCGTATAACGTAACCGAGGAATTGCCTAGGGCTGAAGCTTTAAAAAAGGCGACGGTACCGCCGGATGATGATGAAGATGAAAGCGAGGGAAGTGGTAATACTACTGATGAGAGTAAACCACACGACCACGCCTCACCTGCTGCTCCTAGCTCATATCTTCCAGCTAAAGAGAACGGCGCAATTTCTCTATCACTTAATTTGTTCCTTATCATTCCATTTTGGTATTGGTAAAATAGTTAAAGAATTTATTAATATTGTTGAACTGTATATGGGAACAAATTAAACCCTAGTTATTTGATTTTTAATTTATTTAACAATTCAATCAATATCGTATTGAATGCAGTACCGATATCTCCTTTGCATTTGTGTATTTAAATACATATAAGGGTATTGTCTGTTGTTGAAATAATTATTTAATTATTAATTTCTCTGCATTAAGTATGTATTTTAATATAAGAACTAAATAAGTAATGTCATAACAAATATCTAAAGCCACTTAAACGTGCCAAAAAGACAAATTGATATTAATATAATACTCTAATATTTAGTTTGTTCATATTAATATTTGTTTTTATTTATATCTACAAATCAGAATTCAAATCCGTTCACATATAATATATAAGTGCGATGTATAAATTATTGTAGCATTATTCTAAGATTACAAATATCTATATAGATAAGGAGCCCAAGAAAATTAGGTATTGAATTTTTTTTCGAGTTCTAACATGCGGAAGTCACTTTCACTTATCCAACGTTTCGATTTGTGATTAAAGCATTCGTTTAAATCCGTTAAGCATTTGTGTTTTATTTCACATATAATAAATTTAAAAGTTACCTTATTTTATGTTTAGTCAGAAATAACATGGGCTCTTCCAAACAATTACGATTAAAAATAAATTTTACTAATGCACTTTATTGGTAGAAAGATCGCTCAATTTTTGAAAAATCGATTTGTTACATAGTTATTACTCGCATTGAAGCTACGAACTGCCACGGAAGCACTAACAACCCTGTAGATATTGTTAATTACACATTTTAGACATACATGAATACCAATTCTTTAAAATTTCTTGTAATTATACAATATACATACTATATCAATAAAGATGATGCCAACTAACTTGTATTTATTTTACACCCAGACATATATAAATAAGTTGATTATGTAGCAAGCAATTGTGGTTTTCTTCATGAAATACTCAGTTATTGGTATGGAGGCGAGGGGCGGACTCAATACTATGTCTTCGACAGACTTATTTAAACTAAATGCTGGTTGAAGACCGACTCTATCCAAACGAAAGCAATTAGTCGCATTTCCCCATTGTATCTAACGATTCTAAAAGCAGATACACGATGGTTAAAAGATTCCTTAGCCAAGCAGAAAATTGCTCCATACTAACAACAAAAATGGATTAATAAGCGGCGAGCAAGGTAAGAGCAGATCGAAGCTTTTCAAGAGGCATCTCTCTGGTAGCAGACGAGGGTTCTCGACGTTTTCAATACTCTCCGCTCTCCAGTTCGGAGCTATTGTTTCTTTTATTATGAGACTAAATTGAAAACTTAAATTAAATTTTAAAAAAATTAAAATTACGTAACCTTGTTTCTAAGTTAATTCTTTTTATCCCTGGATATTTCTTAAAATTCCAAAAAAAATTACGACTTGGGCAGGACTTAAACCGTCATCATCTGCGTCCCGTGCTGTTGCTCTACCCAATTGAGCTACCGAGTCCTATTGGTTTTTTGGTCGGTTGAGCGACAACAGGGAATGCTGATGATACCGGTTCAAGTCCTGCCCGAGTCGTAAATTTTGCAATTTATTTTTGATTTTTAATTCATATAGTGCCATCATGTACAATATGTGAAAAATATTAAAGTTTGAAAACTTTGAAACGGGAGATTTCTTAAAACTATAATTGGTAAGTATTAAAAAACTGTCAAAAGGTAGCGGTTTGTTGTCTCATACGAAGTTATCTCTTAAAACTAAGTGAAAAAGTTTGCTCTAAATTACTTACATAATTTATAACGTCTCATGCTGCTTATCCATGTAGTCAATAGTTTTGAAAATTTAACGTCAACACTATCCAATCCAAGTAGCATTCTTGGATATAAAAAACCTTAGATAGTTCAAAGGTAACAACAACCTGTACACAGTAATCTTGCTTTTCGGCGCGTCAAAGGGATGCAATTTCAAACTCCATGATTAAAAATGTTCATTTGCTATAAAGCCACTTGTGTATCGACGTGTATTTCCCAAATTAAAATTCAGGAACAGGCTCGTCGCTTCATAGGGACAATTGTTCCCGACTCCCAGGTCGCGGCTCTGTGATCGATGGAGCGTAAACTCAACCCTTAAGCTATATTATTAAACCATCTGCATGTATACCCTTTAAAACTTCAGGATAAAAATATATATTGATTGTTTTTTTATTGGCGCGTAAATCGAAATATAAAGAAATTAAGTTATAATACCAAAAATTGTTTGTTTTTCATTGCTTTAAATTCAGGCTTGTAGACTTTATGAAATTTAATATTAAATCCCCTTTATGCACAGGTCAGATGTTTTTTGTTGTGAGTAATGAAATGCATTGGCATTTAACTCAAAGCGTTTTATCAAAGTTTGTCAACATGATGGGAATCGAATCGATCACATGTCTAATTTAAGCTTGATTTACAGAAATACACAACGTTAAATAGATATTGCATTCAAATTTCGTTTACCATTTGATACTGCAAAGCACCTTTAATTAAACTCGGATTTCATTTGTACGGATTTAAATAAATTTCACCTATTACTGATTTTGCTTACATATCCGATTTTGACTAGATATTTTCACTGAAATGAAATTTAATTCATATATTTAACCGAGACGTAACTCAGATTTAATTAGTGATAGCGTAAGGTAGCTATCCTTTCAATATCTTTTTACGTGCTTAATGAGAGTCTTTATTTATACTTATTTACTTTAAAAATTATTTTAGATTGAAGAAAAATTTGAAAACAGACAGTTGAATATAAAATAAAATAAATACTTATAAAAGTGTTGTAAAAAAATACAAATAACTGCATATAAAGAGATTGAGTAATTTCTTTATCTCTTTACAAGCAAGAGCATAATTTGTTTTAGTTGTGGATTCAATTTCCTGCTAGTTATAATTTTAACATTATAAAGTAATAACCAAATATATAGTATAGAAATAACAATTATACAGTATTTATACATATTTTATTAAAGGCGTTTCACACAATTCTTAGTTTCTATTTCCCTTTATTTCCGTTACTAATTTTATTACAGAATCAAGTGATTTTAATAAATGTTGTATGAAATATACATAACATTAGATTAAAATACGAAACTTACCATTTCCGGAAAATTTTTGCGCTCGCGGAAACGTAAAAAAGTTTTTGCGAAGCGGGTAAACTATAAAAAAAATAAAAGGCTTTTTATTTAGAATGAGCCTGAAATTCGTCTACATTTTAGTTTTAAGCTTTGTATTTTTAAAGACAAAGTAACATCATATAAGTGAAAGACGGTATAGATTTTCTGAAGTCGATTTTAGTGCTCGTAGAAGTGTCGAGACAGCACGAAACGCGAGTAAATGACTCCTCTACAGAATGCAATGTACGTTATTTCTTCATATTTTTACTAGTGTTGTAACGAAAATATGTTTATTTTTTTAGAATCATACAAACTCTTTGGATAAAAAAATATTACAGTACGTTAAATAGCCGTCTCCACTATGTGGGCGTGAAAGACCGTGAATTCCGTATTTGTTTTACCGATGGATTTTTTACAAATCGATTTCAAGAATTTGTGTGTTCTTTGTTTTCCTTATATATATTTAAAATGGGTTTTTATAAAAGTCAAACACAACATATTGCGCGATTCGTCTTAAAAAAAGAGTTTCATTGGTCAAATTCAAAAACAGTTCTACATACAATTAAATAAATGACATTGACAGTCCTGTCAACCTGACGTTTGACGTAACGCGTCGACATACGACGTAGTTAGTGAAAAAGTTTAAAGATAAGAAAGAGAATTACATACAAAATAAGAAGTTCGGGTTATAGTTATTACATAGATATCAATCAGCCAGTATTTCATAGGCTATTAAATTAAACGACAACATATCCCTTATAACTGCTATACAAACTGTTTTATAACTCGACCGTGTGTTTACAACACTACAATAAAACCGTTACAAGCTGTAGACAGGGCTTTGTGCCCCTCGGCGTCTGCAGATGAAACTGACTGATATAATAAGACCCCACTAAACGAACTGACGCTCCGCGGTAATGGAGGTCGTAAAACAGTAAAAACACAGCTTACTTTATTTTAAGGTGTGGTTAGGATAATGTTTTATTATTAAGCAAATTATGTTTTGTATATTAAAACATTAGATTGTTTTATTTATACTTTAGTGTGCATCCAGTTTCCCCTTGTGGGGAATGAAGCGAACACATCTTTGTGTTCGTTATGTTTATTTAATTTACAGGTCAGTTGATCGGGGTTCTGATCCCTGCCTGACCGAAACAACTTATTCTTTTCCCCGTGATGTAAACCCACCACCTTTCGTGCTTTAAACGATGCTAGGCAACACGTAAAACGCACAGCCAAATAGCATCTTATAAAAATCATTAAAATTACATATATTAGAAGCAATTAGTATTTTTTTCTTTATATATCATTGTTTAGTTAAATTAAAGGACCGATTCATGTAAACACATTTAAGTTTAAGTAGAATTGTTTACTCATTAAGTTAATATGTATAATTTTTGAAAAAACATTTCTATCCGAAAACAATATTCATTTTTCGTAAAAATAATGACAGACGTAGCAGAAAATTTGCCTATTGGCCACATTTGAATTGAAATAAGAAGTCTAGAGTTAAGATTTTTATAAAATTGTATCAGTACAACTAATTCAATATATTGGTCTGGTTTACGGCGAAACAGAATTTCAACGTAAAGAATATAATTTAAGTTTAAATAAAGGCTATACCTTATTTCTAGTGATAGTTAATGGGAATAATCTTATCAAGTAGTTATACATAGTCATGACGTATTAAAGAAAGAATAAAAAGTGGAAACGTTTATAAGAACGCTAATGACTTCGCATCACTTGCGTTGATGCATAAAACATTTGGCTTTCATGTTGTCTTTTAGTTTCTCAAATTATTCAGGAATTATGCTTTGGTATAATTCGGACAATTTATTATTTCTGTTTATTTTT